TTACCGTATCCAATTTCTTTCCAGAAAGACAGTAAATTGATAGCGCTTGAGCAACCTAATATTTTTAGATGTTGAAACAGGTGGATGTTTCTAAAACTTAAGAATTATCTTGAATACATACGTCACACTGTCCGGAGTGGCTCACAACTATCTAACTCTGCACAGACTGTTGGGAAGAAAGGGCAGATGCCCTAAACTGGTGGTGTGTTCTGTAATTAAGACTTCAAGCCAGTAACAAATGTGAATTCCTGGATCACTCTACCAGTCTTACCATGGAGTCCCAGATAGTCGTCTTAGCCTTGCCAGTATATCTTGTTACCTGGACCAACTGAACTTTGTGATTTATACAATGTGATTTTTTTGTTTTTTGTATCAGGTTTCCTTCAGTCCCAAGAGACCAGTCATTTTACCCATACCTGTTAATACTCCAACTTATTCCCAAGACCATGCTGACAGCCAGATCTATGATTAAACTAACAAACAATTAGTTGAGAGGTGAAAGCAGGTAAAATACAAAAATGAGTGTCATTTTTGTAAATCCAAAATGATAGCAGAGATGTAGTAATCTGCCAGTTTCCCAGAAGTGTTTTCAGGGCTGCCTGGAATAACTTGATCTGTGTCATCTTGTTCAGTTATTCTACCCCAGTGGTCTCCAATCTTTTTACACCCACGATCACTCTTTAAATTGCAGGGCAAGCCAAGATTGACCCCACCCCTTCCTTGAGGTCCCCACCCTCTCCAAACCTTTCCATGGACTACCTGTTGCTAATGAAAACTCACCATTAATTACACCTGAGCCGTCTTGCTAGTGCTGCTGCTGCTGGGTAGAACTGTTTAATTTAAGTTAAACCAATTAAGCATTGTAACTTTCTCATGTTAGTCTATCAAACTTCATTTTAAATAGAGTAAAATATTATTGAACCTTTTGTGTTGGATATGTTTTCTTTATGGCAGGGGTGGGGAACCTTTTTTTGGGTTGGGGGTCACTGACCCACAGAAAAATCAGTTGGGGACCACACAAGTGAGAAGCAAAAAACTCCTCCCAAAACCCCCAACCCTCACTGGTTGTCGGGTTGGTGACCACTATTCTACCCTGCAAGAATCCAAGCAGTCCAGAGATAAAGGATCTTCTTTTGAATTGGTACTTTATCAAGTTGTCTGGATAAGTGTTTCACTTACAGCTTTGCCAAATAGCTAAAAGCTGCCTTTTGGCAACAAAGTAGTGAGTGCATACACACTGATGTGGCTTTTGTTTGTGGGGGAGGGAGCCTGGTTTTGACACACAATACTTTTGCTCCTATGGAACTTTTCATTTCCCTTCCTTTTTATTATTGACAAACAAAGGAGGCCTGGTGTCCACACAAGTTAACCACTTTATTCAACCTCCAGGAGGTATCCCACAATGCCCACCCTGACTGCTCTGGTCAGCAATTTGAACTCCAGTACCCTACAACCAGGTAAAAAATAATCCACTCCTCCTTGCAAGCCCCAAGAATTTTAAATTCTATTTCCTGCTTGCTGGCTCATGTCTTCTCAAGTGACCATGGCTGCGTACCTCATCAAATGCTTCACCACTTGGATCAGCTTGGTGCTTTTGGATATGATCAGTATGGTGGGGAGAAGTCCATGCAGTCCCAGCTGCACTTTCCTGTGGAAATTGGGATACCTATGGGTACACTTCTCAAGGCTTGTGCAAAAAGGGCCAAGCAAAGAAAGGAGCTGAGGCAAGCATACTGAGGCAAAGTAGGCAAACCACTACTCTGGTGCTGCACTTGAGACCTACCATTTCAGGGATGACCCTGCCTCCACCGCCAAGATCCCAGTGTATGCTCTGGAGGGTACAGAGGCAGCAGAAAGACCTAATCCAGAGGATGAAGTTATTCGTGAAAAGGTAGAGGAAGTAGAGCTCCTTTTGGGGTTACCCACTGTGTTCCCTCTAAGCCAAACCAGTGTTCCCTCTAAGATTTTCCATCCTTGGACCAGTTGAAACTTCTTATGTCCAATACTAATATTGAAGTCGTGTGTGGATGTGCACCCACCAGTACTAACAAAAACCATAGCTCTAAATATATATTTTAAATAGTCCATACGTTTGGAAGAAAATATATTAAAGCAAGGGATAATTAACAGGGAGCAATGCTTATGATGATTTTCTTTTTGATTTCATATTAAATAAACACAATGCTTGGCAGTGGGTTGTGCCCATGAAAGCTCATGATACTGTTAATATATTTTTGTTAGCCTAAGGTGCTATAGGACCATTGTTGTTTAAGTGGCTTGTTTTTTTTTTTTTTAGTTACAGACTAAGAATATGTCTACATTACAGAGTTTTGTTGGAAAAACATCCATTTTTCTGACAGAACTTGAACATCCACACGGCAATTGTGTTCTTCTGCAAGAAAATTGAAAGAACAGAGGGGTTTTTCTGGCAATAGTAATCCTCATTCTACGAGGAAGAAGCTTTTTTGTGAAAGAGCTCTTTCGCAAAAAGGCATGTGGATGGGGAAGAGGGAGTTCTTTCTGAAGAGGGAGAAAGAGGGGGAAAAAGCACAAGTGCCCTGGTGGCCATTCTGTCCATAGCAATCACAGCTTACATGCGAGACAGTGCCCATTCAATCTGGACGCTCTCTTTTGAAAAAGCAGATTGTTTTTTTTCGATGCACTTTTTCAGTGTGGATGCTCTTTAAGAAGTTTTTTCGGAAGATATCTTCCAGAAAAGCTTCTGCTGAAAGAAGCCTGTAGTCTAGATGTAGCCTAACATGGTTACTCCTAAGACCTTGGAGTACGTGTATCATATGCCTTTCTTAACAGATGTAGTTTTTTTTAAAGATCTTGCAAATAAGGTTTCATCCTACAAAACAGCTAATATCATACCTAGTACTTGCTGCTTCTGAGTAATAGCAAAAATCTGGCTTTCATGCAATACAGTTTACCATGTATTAATTAGTAATACAGGATTTTAAAAAGTCATTAAGATCAGAGTCTGATATGTGCAATACTCAAAAAAAAATTGTTTAAAAGAATCTTTTTCTACCTTAAGCCATTAAGAGAGGGGTGGACAATTTTTGAAGGCGGTGGGGTGGGGGGGAGGGAAGCACTCCAAAAACTTGCTAAGTGATGGAGGGCCGCACTCTTCCATTATATTAATGGAGGTGGTGCAGGAGGTCTGGCATGGGGTTTGGGTGCAGAAGGGAGCTTGGGGTAAGGGATTGGGGTGTGGGATCTGGGAAGGAGTTTGGGTGAAGTGGGGGATTGTGACCTGGGGCAACAGACTGAGGTGAGGAGGCGGTGCAGAGCCACGGAGAGGGTTGTGACTTGGGTCAGGAGTGCTGGAGGGGATGCAGGGATTTGGGCTGTGACCAGGGTTAGCAGATTGGGGTGTAAGGTCTGAGAGAGGTTTGTGACCTGAGGAGGGGATGCAGTGTCTGGGAAGGTGTTTGGGGGCTGGTGCAGGGGTACAGGTGGTTTGGGTTACATGACAAGAGGGGCAAAGGGTTGGGGGAGGGAGGGGCTGGGTGAGAGGGTTGGAGTGGGAGACCTTACCTGGCTCCCAGCCAGCAGCCCAGCAGTTTCCTTAGCCAGGGTCCATACCTTCCAGCCCCTGTATGTGCTATGGGGAGCTGCAGGAGCCATGTGTGTTGTGAACTGGGGGATGCAGTGGGAGGGGCACTTCACATGCTGCCTGTCCTGCAAACAGGCAGTGCTATTGGTGGAAACCAGTCAATGGGAGCTACTGGGGGCAGGGGCAGCATGAGAAGCCTCTTACCCCACCCCCCTCCAGGCTCTCAGCATTCACAAACACACATGTGGTCCTGCACCCAGCTTTCTGGAGTGATGTGGGAGCAGGGAGGGGGACTGCGCTGGCTGAAGCTCTCATGGCCGGATCATCTTTTGCCCAGCCCTGGAGTAGAGGCTGGAGTCAGCTTCTTCATTTATGACAGGCAGCAGCTGCTTCTGCTCCTTTTTGAGAGGGTGAGTGCCCCACCCCTGGGTCCTCAGAAGGGGAAGGGTAGGCTGAGAGCTGGCTATAACGTGAAGGCTGCACTGATCAACCGGGAGGGAGAGCGGACAGCTCCATGTGCTGCATCTTTGCCCCGCCACCAGCTTTGCACTCTCACCTGCCTTGTTGGCTACTGAACGCTTCCCCACACTCAATGCTGGTAGGAAGGCAGCTGGCCAGCAGGGATCTGGCCAGCAGCAGGACCTGCCAGTACTAGTAGGGGGGGAAACAGGAAAATATTGGACAATTTGCCTGTTTTTAAGAAAAAGGTGGGCTTAAGTACGGGACTTTTCTTTTAGAAACAGGACATCAAGTCACCCTACCTTGATCAAGAAGTTGGAATCCCCACACTCAATGCTGGTAGGAAGGCAGCTGGCCAGCAGGGATCTGGCCAGCAGCAGGACCTGCCAGTACTAGTAGGGGGGGAAACAGGAAAATATTGGACAATTTGCCTGTTTTTAAGAAAAAGGTGGGCTTAAGTACGGGACTTTTCTTTTAGAAACAGGACATCAAGTCACCCTACCTTGATCAAGAAGTTGGAACCTT